ACCCACAAAACAACTTCTCAGTTATCTACACAATACGTGGAAATCTTGCCAAAAGAGTACGAATTAAACTTCTTCAAACTGCAGAAGCAATGGCAATTCACATATTGAATCCTGAACTCTGCATACAAAAGAAGTTTGTTCAGTCACTAAATCTACAAAATTAAAATGTTTGTGATTATAATCATAGTTAAACGTCAAGTGGCAAAACAATCAATCTCATACATAGAATAATTAATGAAGGGGTGTGTAATTAAAGAATTTGCAGGCAATTACAATAAAAATGAAAACGTTGCGTAACACTGTGTGAAATTTGATAGCATAGAATTTAACGTTGCAAAACAAAGTTGATTTAGAATGACAAGTGGAACAAGTGAAATAATACTGGGGACAATTCAAAGTGAGAATAGTTATAGTTGCATGGGGGATTTAATCATGAGCTGACATCAGTTAGAGAACCATTGGAAAACCTGGGAGTACTGGACAGCTGTTTCGTCCTAGTTTTGGGACTCCTCAGCAGTACGCACCCACCGGGATTCGAACCCAGGACCTTCTGGTTACAAGGCGACCCCGGGGTCCCAGTGGCTCAATGGTCTACGAGCTCGCCTTGTAACCAGAAGGTCCTGGGTTCGAATCCCGGTGGGTGCGTACTGTGAGGAGTCCCAAAACTAGGACGAAACAGCTGTCCAGTACTCCCAGGTTTTCCAGTGGTTCTCTAACTGATGTCAGCTCATGATTAAATCCTCCATGCAATCAAACAAAATCCCTACAAAATGCAATACTTGAAAATAGTTATAGTAACAATTGACCTAATAAAGGAAGAGTATACAAGGCGAATAAACAAAACAAAAAAATAAGTAGAGCCAAAATATGATTAAGGATTATCATACTTTAGCATAGGAGGATTTAAACCATGAAAGTTTTCTGTACACAGAGATCTGGCTTCTCTGTTTCTATGGCCAAAGCTGCTTCAGCAATACAGACGACTCGAGTACGTGTTGATATGAGCCAGTTATTTTCCCCCTTGTAAATGACTTTAAACACTGAGACTGTAGAGATAGGGTGGTCATTATCGACTAGATGTTCATTGATTGTGCATCTTATAGCTTCACTTCCACCTCTTCGTAACCATGCAGGATAGTGTTCTCGCATCCTCTTGAACAAAAGCCAAGTCGAACAACCGATATACCTAGCTTCACACGATCAGGTCAATTAGTAAACGCACATAGACTTGGTCAACAGTGGAATCTTGTCCCTCAGGTTACTGAACAGTAATTGTCGACTGGTAAAGGCTATTCTCAAAGATGCAGCAGGGAATGTTCTTTTCACGGACTGTGATATCCTTCTTTTCATGATATTGGAAGCTAAGTCACCTTTGAATTCCAAGCTCATGTACAGTATTTTCTTGGATGCGGATGATAAGTCACATTTCATAGGTTTTCAGTGTATATTCTTGTCTATAAAACGTGGTGGAAATCCATTTTCTATTGGGATTTCTCTGGAAAGATTTAGCTCATCCTCCACAGTATCAGAGCTACATATTCACCAAATGCGGGTGGCAAGCGACGGACCAGGTTTCGTTTTTGACCAAGGGGTACCCAGTTGTAGAAATTTGTCACTGGACCATTCCATAACAGCTTTCTATAAATCCATTTCTTCAGAGTTCCATTGATCCTCCTTGACAAGTTCACATCGAGAGAATGATTACTAGACTCGTTCTCCATTTCGAGTGTGAATTTTATCGCAGGATAGCAACCATTAAATACCTTTAATATATTATTCAAGTTACAATCACTATTACAAATAATAAAGGTGTCATCTACATACCTTTTATATATTTTAAAGCTTTGGATGGTTGACTTCAACTGACCATTTTCTAGATTGGTCATAAAATAGTCTGCAAAGAGGGGACCCAAGGGAGAACCCGTTGCAATACCATCCTTTTGTCTGTAGATTGGTTCATTGAAAGTAAACGGTACATCTCAAAAGTAGTTCTTTCAAATCTGTAGTAGGTATTCCTATATTCAACTTGTTTTCCTCAATATTACGTAGCGTTTTTATTCTTATTCGATTTGCCTACTAATCCTATAATTGCACACTCCTCTCAAGTTCTATCCATCCTATGAATTATTCTGTATATGACATTAATTGTTTCGCTACTTGACATTTCAATGTATGATTATAATCATAAACATTTTAATTGCATCTCATACTACTACTACTATTATTATTATTATTTTGTGCATTCATTTCTGATACAATTCCCTCACCGGAATTAACTTCTTAAAATTCCTTTCTTATTGATCCTTTTTTGTTCAACTTTGTACTACTTACGAGTAATAAGTAGTAATAGTAGTAGGATGCGTTTCAATTTTGTTTGCTATGTCGTTACTTTGTAACCATTACTATTGTACGTCATTGAAATTTATCTCATTCTATTTGTTCTGCAGGAATTGTTTTTCAATTGTTCCACGGTATCTGCTTTACATACTTTATGGATATTCCTGTCTTTGTGGCACTGTGGTCATTCTAATCCTTAATCAAGTGCAGTGAACACTCCGAATTTCTTAGAAGAGGAACCTACACAGACAAACAAAACTATAACAACATTTCAGCATGTGACAACACATGAAGTATGTATGTACCAATCTGGGGTTCGAACCCACGACCTTCAGGTTAAAAGACAAGGTACCTCGTATATCATTTGGCCAATCGGACCCGATTCAAAGGCCAGGCAATGAATTCTAACTTCTATCCATTCGTGATTTTACCGTGACTACCAAACAATCTCATCAATGGGAAGTCCGCCATCACTGGTCACAACTTCTCACTAGAATTCCAGGAAACGCAGTCCTCCAGCCATTCACTAACGAGGATCAGTCTTGATGTCGAACTCCAGTGGATACGAACTGCCCATGGGTCGCAAACTATGACAAAACAGCTGTCTAGTAAATTCCTAGTTTTCTAGTCGATATCAATCCGTAGTTAAACTTGAAATTCAAGTCACTATTATTATTATTCTTTTCGGTTCCAAGTGGAACATACAGCTTCAGCGGCACATCACCATTCTACTCTGTTCCGTGAGATCTTTGTTAATTGGCCAACGATTTCCAATAATCTTATATTTCTATCCAACACGAACACTTCCATAGCATCCTCAGACTCAAATTAAAGGTGTCGTCTCCTGTTCACGTTCCACTCGATGGACTGATGTCTTATCCATCTCCGTCGCCTTCAGAGTATTTGTTCAACGATAGATTCTTGACTGGTTCATTGCTTCTTGTCTCCTCTCTCTCTCTGGTTTGTCATATTGTGGTGGTGTGATACAGACAATGCGTCGGTCAACGGAATGTTATTCTCACATATTAACACAGTTCAATTCAGCATTAACAACAGAATAATACTATGTATATTTGTACATTGCATTTCATGTTGTTTTGATGTGAACTGAAATCACACACTCACTAATGATTGGCTAACGAATATAAACTGCAGATATATAAACAGTGGTTTGACTAATGAAAAATATACTTTGGCTTGCGTGTCATGCCTTCTGTTGTTACAATTTTAGCTTTAATGTTAACATAGTGAGCGATATTGTTAATGAAATTCTCATGGAGACGTTTTTTATGACAAGCTGACTTTCTGAAGCATGTAGAATCAGTAGTCAAATAGCTAAATGCTCAAAAAAATGGCTTTATAACCTAAAGATTGTAGGTACGATCTCTTATTATTATTTCCTTTAGTTCCTAGAGGACAATAGGGCTTCAGCCAAACGTCTCAAGTGCGTTCGGTTCTCTGCCAACGTTTACACTTGGCTGCACTTCCACCCACATGCTTTCATTTCCTCTTCACATCACCTCCTCCATATCATCTTCGCACTGACGACCAACTCTCCACTTCTCTTTCGGGTTCCATTCGAGCGATGACCTGGAGTGTGATATCGATTGATGGTTTGTTTTCTCAGAGTATGGTCAATCCAACTCCATTTCTTCCTGCTTATTTTTTGCACAATCGGTTCCTGATTGGTTGGTTCGCTGATTGCCAGAGATCCCTCCGTGTTGCTGATCTTTCCTGACCGGCCATCTTATCTTGAGCGGAGTATTGAGCGAAGACAACTGTTAATGAAGACCTGTAGTTTGTTTGAGATGCTCTTTATGACGCACTGGCCAAGTCTCTGATCCGTATAGTGAGTAGCACTGACTGACTTCACATTGGAGTTGAAAATCCGGATCTTATTCTGATTTTCATGCTGAGTGGCGCTGTTGACCTCCACACAGACTTGAGAGTAGTGAAAGCTTGACTTGCTTTCCCGAGTCTTGCTTTGATATCCTCGTCAGTTCCGTTCGCCTGTAGTTGAAGCGATGCTTCCCAGGTAGGTGGGTAGGTGAAGGAGGTTGTTTCCTTCAGGTTCCTCCCAATTATGCTGGCTGATTGTTGTCTGTTGCTGTTGCCCAGGAATCTTCATCACCTCTGTTTTCTCTATGTTCACGTGAAGTCCTTTCTCTGATGCTTATTCTATGACCAACTTGTTGCTTTTCACTTGCATATCTTCCAGTTTGTGGGAAATCAGACATGTATCATTGGTGAAGTCCAGATCCTCCAAGCTCCTTTTTTTGTGTGAGTCCATTTAATGCCTGTTTCCTCATTGCCCGTTGTCTGTTGCATTATCCAGTCTACTGCAATCAGGAAGATCATTGGTGATAGTAGACAGCCTTGTCTCACTCCCGTCCTCACTTCAAAGGCTTCTGTAAGTTTCCCGTTGTGGATTACTTGGCATTCAGCATTGTCGTACAAACTTTTGGATGAGGTTCGATTAAATGTGCATACTGTTGGAGAACCCCAAACTAGGACGAAACAGTGTCTTGTGGTTTTCTCATTCTTACTAATTCCCTAGGCGGTTCTAATCTCCATAGGAGAAGGGGGAAATTCGGTAGGAGGCTACACTGGAACTTCAAAGCACAAGAAAAATTATTTTGATAAAAATAAATACATAACATTCACGTCATCGATTCATAAAGTTTTTTTATTGTATTCCATTATACTACTCACAAGTAGGCGACAACAAATGAAGTAATAAACATTATCATTCTTAACTGACAGACAAAAGTAGAAAGAAAGAAAGGAAGTTAATAATTCCACAGTTCGCTTTATACGCAATAATTTATATTGTAAATAAGTAATTAAGTCAGTTGTATGATTGTCTTCTCCGAGGGTGTTGGCCTTCTTTACTTCCTCCTTGCCGAGGATTAATTTTTCCTATACTGTCTTGATATTTTTATAAATATCTAAACCAGTCATTGATTGTATCAATTGTGGTAGACTATTCATAATTGTAAATAATTCTCCAGTTAACTTTGCTACACCAATTTCTCCATCACCTGTTGACACCATTGTCACTTTATCACATTTAGTCAATGGGGCACTGATTTCAGCAGCAATTTTTGGTAATGATTGTAAGACCATGTCTAATTTGGCGACATTCTACAAAGAAGACAGAGAGAGAAAAGATTTAAAAAAGGATAATTTTAAAGCCAAAAGTAGAAAATTCTAAATACAATATAGTCCAATTATAGATTTTCCCGTCGATTGATTCAACCGAAGTGCTCAATCTCAGGTTGATATGTCTTTCGGCTCCTTGTGCGCGCGGATGCTTCAACGATGCCTAGTCATGTAACTTGTAGTCGATTGGTGGATGGTGATTAATAGTGGAATCCAGAATTACGCACATTTCATCCTATATTGGACTCGTCAACTGGATGTGCTTGCACCTAAGACCGAGCACTTTGGTCCAATCAATTGACATAAAAATTTAAAATTGATTTCAGGATTTCATCATGAGCTGACATTAGTTAGAGAACCATTGGTAAACCTGGGAAAACCAACACTTAAATTTAAAATTGAATTAGATAATTATTAAAACCCGTTATGCGAGAGGTGGCTCTTGTAACCCAAGTGGTCTAGTTGATAAACATTTGGAGTTCGGAACTATGGGAGCGGATTCCGGAGCCCCGATGGGAACACCATCCTGTTGACAAGTCCCAAATGAGAAGAAATGGGCGTGATCCTCGATTTCACTTCTAGTCACCACTCACTATTCGAAAAAAAGGTTGGTTGTTTCATAGTGCCTGACAACAGTGGAATTCAAGATGACACAAGACAATTCGTCCAATTCCAGGACTCATCAGTTTGGCATACCTGGAACACACTGAGTGACGGTATTTTCTCATTAGAACTTGGAAAACACAAAGCCTTGTGTCACTGAACAGGTCTACAGAACATCAATGTTGATCTGTTTGATTGTAGCACTGAGTGGTGCTGGTGTGGATCCAAATCTCAGAGGAGAAGTCGGACCAGATGATCAATGATCAACTTTTATTGGTTCCTGCCGTCCCGAGGACCCCACAAACAGCCAGTCAAGAAGTATGCAACACTCTCTACGTGACTGGCTAGTTGGCTTCATCAACTAACTGTTATGAATTTCATGGACTGATGAAGTCATAATTTGCTATGACCACCAGCAGTTCACTCTTTTCCAACCTCATCCATCCTATGTGAGCGGCTAACATTAACCGTCGAGCAAGGTAACAGCTAGGCATGCATGAGTAACACATGTCCTAACCATCTCACTCAATCGATGTAACTTCACAACCTCGTTGATTAGTTTCCCTTCTTTATCTAACACACTAGAAGCTTAACCTCGATATTTCTCATCCTATTACACCACTTTACACGGAAGATAGAACGCAGGCACCTTTGATCAAAGACAGCTAGCCGGCCAGGCTTCTCACGTCTTTTATTTTCAATGACCATGTCTTACAGTCATAAAAAAGGACGGACCAAAGTGATGCTATGCACTATGCACGTCCTATGGTCAACAGCCAATCGAAAATCACGTCTATTAAGCCAGAGATGGCATAACTTGAAAAAACACCAAAGGAAGCTTTTGTATCAGTGATAAGATTTCATCAGTGATCAACCCGCTGGCATTGGCTGATGTAACTTACCGAATAAGTGAAGTGATGGTCAACACGCACAACCACTACCACTTTACACTCTTGCCTATCTTGAAGTCAGCTATGAGTGATCACTGCAGCCTAGTCCTGTAGCATCATCTTACACTTTAACGGGAACGAATTGCGCGTCAAACATTCAAAGATTGCTGTTCAACTGAAGGTGTTCACAAGACTCTCCTTTATTTTGCTATCGTCTTCAGGTGGCAGTTAAAGCTATCTTATCGACATATTCTCAGTCAACATGACTATCTTGATAAGTCACACAGTGTGTTGGTATACAGTAATATTAACTGATCACCACCTTTCGAGGACAAATTATTACTGCTCATAATCACATCAAGGCAGTACTCACACAACTTTCTTGCTTCATTTATATACATGAGTAAAAGTTGATTAGACATTTGAATAAAATCAATATAGGATAATGTACATTCGGAAATATGACAGAGAAGATGTGTAGCTCAGGTGGATGATTTTGATGTGGTTGTGTTTTATCTGAGCTGGATAGTTAATTTGCGAAGCTTTTACCACCCTACTAGGCGACATCTTCAGTGCATAATTCAATTTCTTGAAGTGAGCTTTTATCTTTCTCCATGACTTTATTGATTATCTCTGCTGGTGACCTTGGATGTGATTGGTTGATTTTGTGTGTTTTCACATCCTCTAGGCTACTTTCATTGGAACTGATGACTTTTTTGACTTGAACTTTGACGCTTTGTGTGTGAAGTTTATTTCTTACCGGTTGATAAATTTCGTCTATCTCGAAGTGTCTATTGATTGGTGATTCACTGGAATGCCAACCAACATCATCTACAAAATAAATTGTAACAACTACGAAAAGCACTACATTGGTAAAAGTGGACGTCCCCTTCGTCTTCGTATCCACGATCACAAGCTAGCCATCAAAAGACATGATATCCACTCCGTCGCACAAATCACATGCAGACAGCCACGGAAATCATTTCGACTGGGACAACGTTCAAATATTAGACAGAGAAAACAACAAGAATGCCAGAGAATTTTTAGAAGCTTGGCTTGGTATTCCAGTGATTCATCAATCAATAGACACATCGAGATAGACAAAATTTATCAACCGATAAGAAAGAAACTTCACACACAAAGGGTCAAAGTTCAAGTCAAAGAAACAATCAGTTCCAATACAGGTAGTAGCCTAGAGGGTGTGAAAATACACAAAAGCAACCAATCACGTCCAAGGTGACCCACCAGGAGAGATGATTATTAAACTCGTGGAGATATCTAAAAGCTCACTTCAATGGAAATTGAAGTATGCGCTGAAGATGTCGCCCAGTAGGGCGATGAAAGCTTCGCAAATTCACTGTCCAGCTCAGAGAACACAACCACATCAAAAACATTCGGAAATAATAATATTAGCGTTATCAATTAAATAAAATCAGATGGGAAATAAGACGAGTGTTTTATAGTAAAATAAATAACTTGTTAGAATGTTATAATGTATGTGAATTGAAATAAAATTTTATGACTATTTATTATCCACCTCTGATTTGACTGACTGGTGGTAATAATATCTTCCATATCTCTGGTATTTGCGTTGAGTCATTTCTGTTGCATGTGTTGTGTTGGGTGTGTACAATGGATGAACCAGACAGGATTCAGTAATCAATCTCTCTCTCTCTCTCTCCACCTGTCTATATCACATTTTAGAATTCTAACTCCCTCAGACCCACTCTATTGTGTGACTGTGTGTTGTTAATGCATGCAGTTCAATTGCTGAGCTTTTTTTTGAAACTATTTATCTTCGTGGGATCAATCATTCTCACCTTAGCTAAGTTCTTATCTTCCGACAATCTGAAAACCATTTATTTCGTTGGCTTCTCATCAGCTGCTTACAGCCTAAATAAATTATGAGGTTTAAGTACAGACATGTTGTAACATACTTGCAAATTTTACATGTTGTCAGTTGACAGAAATTTCCACAATTAGTAAACAGTGCTCAGAAAATTGCGCTCATATAGTTTTCGCACAGGCAGTTCAAGTTAAAACAAAATAAATGTATGCAGAAAATGGTAAAGGAGTTACATAATAAAGATGAGGTGTGCGTTAGATGCATAGTGACTAGTAAAGTTAGGTAACAATGAACTGAGTTGAGCTCAAATCATAGAATCATATAATCTATAATTTTGCTTGTCTCTTGTTTCTATGATTTTAGCTCAACTCATTACATTGTTTACCTAACTTATTAGTCACTATGCAACTAACGCACATCCCTTACCATTATATGCATATATTTATTTTGTTTAAACTCGAACTGCCCGTGTAAAAACTATATAAACGCAATTTTCTGAGCACTGTTTACTAATTGTGGAAATTTCTGTCAACTGACGACAACATGTAAAATTTGCAAGTATGTTACAACATGTCTGTACTTAAACCTCATAATTTATCTAGGCTGTAAGCAGCAGCTGATGAGAAGCCAACGAAATAAATGATGGTATCATATTATTCTGCTAAAACTGTAGTTCTTGCTTTGTTCAAAATTCATTAAGGGGTATAAATTTCTGAAATTTCTGACAACCACCGACCTACTAGTTTGACCTATGCAGTTGACTTAACTCACAGTCATTGCAGGGTATTTTGTAAATTATGTTATTTTGTCTAATTGGGTCCACCGGGTCTTTTAGCCTACAAAGCTTGTCCTACCTGAGTGAGTTTCTAGGTTTGAATTTACACTATCCTATTTTGATTTTTATTCAATCAAATGTCTAATCATCAATTTCACTCATGTATATAAATGGAGGGAAAAGGTTGTGTGAGCAGTGCCTTCATATGATTATGAGCAGTAATAATTTGTGCTCGAAACGTGTACTTACTTTACTTTTACTTTACTTCGGCTATCTGCTACGGGAGGATGAGCCGGCTTCATGAACGTCTCGAATCATCGCTGCCCAGGCGCGGCAATTTGTAAGAGAGTTCATGAAGTTTCATGGGAATTTGGTACGAGTGATGTCCCCAGCATCGCTCGGCCTTTGTTTGAGAGTGCAGCTCTAGCCTTTACACAACCAAGTGTGACCTACAAGGCAGTAGGAGTGGAGTAAGGAGTCCACTATCCATTGGCAGCCGATGACCGGAGTTCGGTTCATACGCCTTTTTGAATGGGGCCAGACATCCAGGACATCCAACAAGCCCTTTGTCCATACGTCTGCCGGTGAGCTCCAGTGAGCTTCATACGCCAATCGTTGGAGGTTTGGAATCAGGGTTTAGCCATCTCCCCTAGACTGTCATCCAATGGACAGTCAACCCGGTGCAGAGCGCCAGGCATCCGCTTTCGCCCTCTCACTCTGGTGAGAAACACCTCCGCCACGTGAAGGCAGTGAGTAGGACTTCCTCAGGAGAGGCTATGTAAGACGCTCGGTCATATGGGAGCATTTCAAGAGGTGTGCGGAGGGGTGGCCAACCCGCAGCGCAAGGCACCCACCCCCGACCATCCTG